TTAGACCTCTGGGAAGAATATAGGTTAATTTACAAAGGGTTAAATTTGTTTTTTTTTTATTCGTCAGATTTTAGTACGGTTATGATGTTAGGATAGGATTTTGTATAAATTTGTTATATTAATCTACCTTTTTATTTTTCTAAAATGCATTTGACTGCGGGTGCCAACCCTCCCCTTCAATTTTTTTTTTAGGAATTTAACTCTAGTTACATTCCTTCTATTGACTTGAATATTGATAACCTGCATTTGCCCTCTGTATTGACATTCTAAAACGAGCTAGGTAATCATTGTGAAGTGTTTTTTCCGTTCAAGAATCTGGAGATTGTAGTTTGCACTCTTTAATATGACGTCTTACCATTGTATATATTTATTTTTTTTTTTTTTTTGTTGTTTTCTAAAATGCATTTGCCTGCGGGCGCCAACACTCCCCTTCTATTTTTTTTTTAGGAATTTGACTCTAGTTGAATTTTTTGCACAGACTTGTTTATTGATTACCTGCAGGTGCAATCTGTATTATCATTCTTTAATGAGCTAATCATCGTCAGTTGTTTTTCTGTTTAAGATTCTGGACGTTTTAGTTTGAACTCTTCAATATGCCTTAACATCGTATAATTTTTTCTAAACTTTTTTTTGTTTCTCTAAAATGCATTTGCCTGCGGGCGCCAACACTCCTCTTCAATTTTTTTTTAGGAATTTGACTCTATTTGAATTTTTTGCGCAAACTCGAATATTGACAACCGTCAACCTGCAGGTAACCTCTGTATTGACATTCTAAAACAAGCTAGGTAATCATCGTGAATTGTTTTTTCTGTGTAAGATTCTGGAGATTGTAGTTTGAACTCTTTAATATGACGTGTTATTATTGAATAATTTTTTCAATATGTTTTTTTTAATTTTCTTTAATGCATTTCCTTACGGGTACTCTATGAATATACTTTCTTTAATGAACTATGTATTATGAATAATTTTATTAAGAATCTGGAGATTTTAGTTTGAACTCTTTAATCTGTGTTCCTACTGGGGTTCCTACTGTTTAATTTTTTTCTAGTTTTCTAAAATGTATTTTCCTGCAGGCGCAAACACTCCCCTTAAGTTTTTTTTTTTTAGGAATTTTACTCTATTTACATTTCTTCTATAGACTTGAATATTGATAACCTGCAGGTGTCCTCTGTATCGACATTCTATAACGAGCTAGTTAATCATTTTAAACTGATTTTTCTGTTTATGAATCTGAAGATTATAGTTTCAACTCATTGATATGTGTTCCAATTGTATAATTTTTTCTAAAACTTTTTTTAGTTTTCTAAAATAGCAAAATCACTAAGCACACGCAACACGGTTAAGGCGTTACTGTTATTTAGTTTTTCCATTAGGATCATTTTTCCGTAAATCATAAATCATAATATTATATTAAGTTTTACAACATTTTAGATTCTGAGCGGAGCGATGAATGTATTGGTTTTACAATGATGTGTGTTTTTATATTTTTTTAATTTTTTTTTGTGTCTGTCATCACGTTTTAGGACAGTAGAAGTGCTATTGGATTTTCTTCATCAGTAGCTTTTCTGATAGGAAAGTGAATCTAGTTGGTACTTTGTATAAAAGGGTCAATTTGGTCAAAAGGATAAATTTCCCAGTAGTTTTCACAAGCGCCGGGAAAAAAAACATAAAAATTAAGGCAAAACGGGAATTTTTACGCAAAATTGGTTTTCCAAAAAATCGATTTTGGTTATTGGTGTAACTCTAAAACAAATGAACGTATATACATAAAATTTTCACTGGTTGTTTATATTTGCATTTTCTATACACGATAATATTTTCAAAATATTTTGATTTATTTTGAACTGTTTAGGGACATTTTCATTTTTCATTTTTTTTTAGTTTTTTTTCTAAAAATATCAATAAAATTTTATTTGTTGAGTAAAAATACTTGAAAATTTAGTACAATGCTCCTTCTATATTGTTACAATGACATTTGAAAAATATTAAAAATCTTTAGTCACAGATTTTTTTTATAAGCATTTAAAGTTCAAAAATTGACAAAATATGGAAAAATCACAAAAATTAGCAAATTCTTTTGAGTTAAGAATTCATAAAAATTTTTCTTTTTAAATCTAAGATTTTTAAATGTAATACAAGATTCCCTATAAGATTATCTACTTTTATAAAAAAAAAAATGGCTGTTTAATTTGTCATGCGAATTTAGTTTTTCGCTTTCGCAATACGGCGTTGAGTTGTGACGATATGCGCATGCGTGAGTACGTGGCCTTGGTTGCACGGCGGCGCGGCAGTGTGGCATACGCGCAACTCGCTTAGTCGCTTCCTAGTTCCTACTCCTATTACTAATGGTAATTTACTATTTCATTTGCTCGCTAGTCGCCGTGCTGCAGGTTGTGTATAGCCATATTGTCCGTCCGTTCGATTATTATTTATTACTATCCGTACGGCAAACTTTATTACAATAACAGTGATAAACGTACCGACGGTCGGCCGTATGTTAATCTTTCTCTGCTGTCTCGCGGAGTCCGTATTTTATGCAAGTACTGCATAAACTACTAATTAAAAGACCATGGCCGAACAATTCAAAAAATGCTCACATATTAGTATTAGAAGAGAAATAATATATAATTATAGAATAGATTATCAATATAGAATTAATGTCTCTTGCTTCAGAAAAATAGCTGAAATCTCCAAAAAAAACTTCGGAGAAGTAAAACAAGTCTTCTGTGCTTTACTTAAATGGATTGGAGTAGGTACTTGAATTTTGAGATAAATAAAGAATTGAAATCAATATCAAAATTCTGTGCTTAGTAGGTGCAAGAGAGAGTATAAAGAAAGTTCCTGTTAAAATTGTGGTAAATAAAGAAGTGAAATCAAACCTCAAAATTCTGTGCTAAAACTTAATTGACTATTGAAGAAAATTCGATGACATTCAATTTTACCACATTTTTAGCTACAAAAAAAAATTGCACAGAACGTTCCACATTTGCCTGCAAAAATTCACATGTCCATGGATGCACTTCGTTCTGTGCAATTTTTTTTTGTAGCTAAAAATGTGGTAAAATTGCATGTCATCGAATTTTCTTCAATAGTCAATTAAGTTTTAGCACAGAATTTTGAGGTTTGATTTCACTTCTTTATTTACCACAATTTTAACAGGAACTTTCTTTATACTCTCTCTTGCACCTACTAAGCACAGAATTTTGATATTGATTTCAATTCTTTATTTACCTCAAAATTCAAGTACTCCAATCCATTTAAGTAAAGCACAGAAGACTTATTTTACTTCTCCGAAGTTTTTTTTGGAGATTGATTATACGGAAACATTTTCACCAGTAGTACGGTCTAACGAGCTGTGACTACCTACGTATATATTAATAATAGTAATAATATATTATATTATATTGTATTAGGTAAAATACGATTATAATATATATTATACTCAATAATAGACATAAATGCTGCAGAGAGCACGTAACCCCGGTAATAGTAATAATATCAGCATCCGAGCGGCCACATCGATAAGAACTAATTAATGGTACAGCGCGAACACGTGATAGGTATACGCGCGCAATATCCATATCTAGGAAAGACGAAAAAGCCGTAAACAGCACAAATAGATAACTTTGGAAACATATAATCCATAATTAACATTATTTCGTAGAGGACGCCAAAAATGACCTCAGGTGTACGCGGCTATGTACCATTTATTATACAAAAAAATGCCATAGGAGGGAGCTATTAGAAATACCCGACGAAGTACGTCGATGGACACGTGTCCATCAGACGAACACCAGCCGAGTAGACGAGCACCAGCAGAGCAACTACCAAGTCGATGATAAGTCACATGCCGTGTTGTAAGTCCTTTTGTGTTTTTGTGTTATTACGACAATTGAAGTTGATATTATTGAATTTATAGGCCGTGCAGTAAGTCCTGATATTGTGAATTAATTGAAGACAGTGAGTCTATATTTTGAATTTTATTTTACAAGGCCTAAATAAATTCTTATGTGTTGAAAGGAGTAGGTTGATTTATAAAGAAAATTTTAATTAAATTAATACAGTAATAAGAGTTACTATTTTTAAAAATAGATGTCGTATTGGCTGATTAATTGGAATTAAAGCAAAAAAAAAAAAAAAACAATTAGAGTAACTAGTTAAATTAAATTTTAATTTTAAATCGTATTGATTAATTAAATTAAATTAAATCTAAGTTAGGCAAGTTAAGTCAAGTTTTTATTCTTAATTAATTTAATTTAAATAAATTATTAAGTAATTAATTTAAATTGAAATATTGAAGCGATCGGGTTGATTGTAAATAATTAGTAACGATTGTTTTTAATTATCTATCGTTTAATTGTTGCTGATTTATTTTGATTGTTTGTTATTTAATAAATAATTTATTGTTTATTTTACGCACTGTAGTTATTAGTTATTTCATTAAAATTCATTAGAGAATTAATTATTGCGTACGATTTAAATTTTTGTACACTAGTGTGTCAGTTACACTTTAATTCTGTTTTCGTTTACATTATTAAATTAAATGAATCCACGACTCTAGCTTATTTCTGCTGGTGTTCGTGACGGCTAATTTTGCTTGATTCAAATTGATCAGCTTCTTGAAACTTCCCTACCCCTATGTAACTGAAGCTTTATGTCTTGTCTAGGTTGCAATACGGGTTGTCAACTTGAATAATATTCCAAGTAACTAGCATTTCTAGCTCTACATCGGCTATTAGATATTCGACTTGCGGAAGGGCGAAGCAATATCTCGTCTTGTTGAAATTTCCAGATAAACTGTTCTGGAGTTTCCGGTTTTTTTTATTGGTTTTTGCATAAAAACCAAAGGTTTGACTATTATTCTTTGTTGGCTGCAATTAGTTAGCTTGAAGTTTGTCTAGTGTCATACATTTTTATTTTTTGTTTTGACCTCCTATTCGAATTTATAGTTAACGTCGGAACCTGGAAATTGTTTTTGTTATCTTCTTTTGATATTTATAATGGATTTCTTTTTTATGAATATAACATTCTTTTTTATAATTACAAATTTTATAACGCGGATTGTATCCTACGATATTTCTGCAGGTTGTCCTACAAATGTTATCTTCCCTTTGCCACCATACGACATTAAGGTCTATGGTTCTTACAACTGGCAAACATCTACTAAACGGACAATTGTTAATGAGGTCACTCATCATTATAGAACGACGCTTAAAGGCAATATAATCGTTGCCTCTTGTTATATATTTAGGGCTTTTGAATCCAAAGTTAGGGATTCTATTTCTTTGTCAACTAGAGATGGTGTTCGTCTTGCTTGTACAAGATCTGATTGTGATGCTGGTCATATTATACCTGCTATTTTTGGCGGAAATGATTCTGTCACTAACCTAATTCCTCAGTTCGACAACTTAAATAGGGGAATGTGGGCTCAATATGAGAAAGCAATATCAAGAGTGCCTGTTGGTAGTGTTGTTGTTACCATATATGAATATGAGCAAAATAGTTATGAGAATACTATACTATCATCAATTGGCGCTGTGCCTCGTTATGCATTTAGACATGCTAGTTTTCTTAGGTCATATGTTTATAATGATAGGCTACCAAATGAATTGTTGCTTTGCGGTACCTTCCTTAATGATGGTCGTGTGCCTGTGGGTCGCTACGAGGAGTTGAAAGTTTCACTTTCAAGCTGGAATTCTCACAAACCAGTTGGCAATTTTGGTCGTTGTGATTATCTTGTTTAACATTTCATGACGTTTATTTTATAACTATATCTTTTGTTTTTGTTTAAAATTGTGTGTGTTTTCTTTGCGTCTTTCACACACTCTTATAGTACGATGCAAAATTACAAATTACTACAAATGATTAATTAAATTAATTATCTGGATGGTGGTATTTATCAAACCACCTTGAATTTTATTTTTTTTTTTTCAAAATCAAATTAATTTTTTCTTATATTTCTTTATTAAATTTATTTCACTTTCCATAGATAAAAAAAAAAAAACTGATTATTAACAATAATGTAAAAATAAATTTAAACACGCACTTATTAAATACTGGTCTGTAATCCCATTAGAGATTATGAAATATTTGTAATCATTAAATATAAATTATATTATATAACATGTAACTTAACATGAAAAATATTATTGTATCCAATACTATAGTAATATAGTATGTTATTGTATTAGTTCAAAAATGTAATTATTATGTTATTATGTTTAAAAATCAGATGAAAAACATATTATATATTGTTATGTAATGAAAATGTTATGTTATAAAAAAAAAATATTATGTTATGTTGTTATAAAAAGAAATATTGTTATGTTATGTGATGAAAAGTTATGTAATTGATATTGTAAAATGATGTACTATGTATTTATGTCCATGTTTTAAGTAAATTTTCTTTAAAGATTTTTGTATTTCTACAAATTATAGCCCTACAAAAACCTTTGAAAGGGGGGGGGGGTGTAACGAGCTGTGACTAAGTATATATTAATAATAGTAATAATATATTAAATAATATATTATATTATATTGTATTAGGTAAAATACGATTATAATATATATTATACTCAATAATAGACATAAATGCTGCAGGGAGCACGTAACCCCGGTAATAGTAATAATATCAGCATCCGAGCGGCCACATCGATAAGAACTAATTAATGGTACAGCGCGAACACGTGATAGGTATACGCGCGCAATATCCATATCTAGGAAAGACGAAAAAGCCGTAAACAGCACAAATAGATAACTTTGGAAACATATAATCCATAATTAACATTATTTCGTAGAGGACGCCAGAAATGACCTCAGGTGTACGCGGCTATGTACCATTTATTATACAAAAAAATGCCATAGGAGGGAGCTATTAGAAATACCCGACGAAGTACGTCGATGGACAAGTGTCCATCAGACGAACACCAGCCGATAGTAGACGAGCACCAGCAGAGCAACCACCAAGTCGATACTAAGTCACATCTCGTTTACCACATTATTAGACATTAATTATTTGGACTTAGACTATTTTACGTATTAAATAAATTACAAATAAACTATCATTATACCATCAACTTGTTATTTTATTCAAAATACAATCAATACTGAGTTGAAGTGGTTGGCACGTTACAACGGTATGAATCAATCAGAACAAATTTTAGCCGTCGTAGCAGCAGGAAATTATAAGCTAAAACGGTTTGATATAAAAATGATATTTTATATGTTAATCTAGAAGAACTAAGAAGTCATTAATAACAGTAATAACACACTAATACACTAATAGGTACTTGTAATAATTAAATTACAATTCAACAAATTACATTAAATGAAAATATAACAAATTTAAGGTACCTATAGTCGATAACGAAATGAAACAAATAATAAATATGTGAAGTCTTGAAATAGCACTAATGAAATGCGTTGAGTACACGAAATGAAGTGGGGAAATCGGGCAGTACGAAAATGCGAGATGCGGCCGCCGTGATCCCAGATTTAATTACAAATTCTCATTAAAATGTTTGCACTTTTCCTTTAATAACTTCATTTTTAACAGTATGATTTCGATTATTTTTGCCAAAGGATCATCTGCACAAATTTTCTGATTTTTTCCATTTTATTAGGAATGAATTGATTCAATAGATAATTAGTTAGGTCCGGTTGAAAAAAAAACATCAACATTTACACTGTTTAAATGGGCAACACCTGCTTCAAGATATTTACACTGTCGTGCCGCCGCTATATTTTTTTTACTTAGCTCGCGCCACGACTCTTTCAGAATTGAACAATTAATATAATTTGACGATTTGAAGATTAAAATGTCTAAAGAATATTTAAAGAAACAAATTAATTTTGTTCAGTAGCTTAGAGCTTAAGTGACTGCAGGAGGCACCCGAACACTTACAGTTCACATACTCTCACTCTCCCTTGAATCAAATTTTTGAAGAAAGTTACCTTCAACGTGTACTACGTACAACATGTTTTTGGAATATTTTGTTCTAGCAACCGGAACAAGACAAATAATTGACACGGGCATAATCTTTCCTGCAATATTTGGATATGTATAGACGTATAGTTATTAAAATTACCAAGTATAGGTAGGTACCTAATAAAAAAAATAAATTTTAAAATTATTTAAAAATTTAATGTGAAAGGCTAATATTTAAAAATATATTATAAGATCTGGTATATTTATGTATCAAATTATTATTATTTTAGATTCTAATCAAAACGATTTTGCAACAAATTCATTGGTTTTACAAGTTTACAAAGATGTGTGTTTTTATTTGTGTCTGATGGCACTTTTTAGAAAACTAAAAATTATTCAATTTTCGACTTACATTACATTAAAATATTATAATATAAACTTTCAGATCATATACATGGCCAGAAACCCAAAAGACACTTGCCTTTCATTTTTCCACTTTGCAACCCTCCTTGGTTCATATGAAGACAATTTTGAAGCATTTTGTGAACTGTTTATCTCAAATTCCTGTAAGTACCTACATTTGTAGTATAAAATAAAATTAAAGTCACATACACTTTAAAACTTTTATAATGCAGTATGTTACAGTCCGTTTTTTGACCATATTCTTGGCTTCTGGAACCAAAGAGATGATCCACAAGTACTATTCTTGAAGTATGAAGACATGAAACAGGTAATCGATCAATGCGTGTTATTGTGTTATTATGATCTGTTGATGCCTAATATATAGACATAAATACATAAATCCCTTTTTAATAACATTTTTATTTTATTTGTATAGGACCTACATTTGGTACTTCGACAAACCACTCAATTTTTAGGCAAACATATGAATGACGATCAACTGTTGGCTTTGGAAGACCACTTAAATTTTAAAAGCATGAAGAAAAGTAGTGCTGTCAGTGGCGAACCATTTATTGGTATAATTTAATGGATCAAGAGGCAAAGGAAATATAAGAAGTGGTAATGTCGGCGAGGGTAAAATAAATATGACACCCGCGTTTGTGAAAATTTTTGACGAATGGGAAAATAAGAGTTTAGAAAAAAGCGGATTAAAGTTTTTATGAATTTAATTATGTAGTAACCAAGTAGTTGTGTTTGTGTAGGTATACCTATAGGTAGGTATATAAAAATATAGTAAATACATACGATTATATGAAATACATCTGTTATTGTATTCTACCTTAGACAGTCATCAAATTGTAAACTATATAATATTATATAATAATTAATATGTAGTATTAATGTACAAATATAATTTACCGAATGAGTAAAACATTAGTTCATAAGCCAATGAAGCTAAAATGTACTGAAATACTAGATGTCGCTAAATGCGTATATCATTTATCACCAGTCGAAATTATAAACTGAGGGTCCACTGGGTCCAGTGTTGTCTGAGACTGTTTATGTGCCCCCTAAAACAAGCATCTGCCCTTGGGCTATGGTTAGACGGGCAAAACGCAAAAGCTCCGCAAATTATTTAGACGATAAGAGAAAGAAAAAACCCTAAAATATAAAATTGTCGAACTTTTCACGTCCTGTTGGCTATTACATAATATTATATTATTGCAATATAATGTGACATTGCACACCGCCACGCAACACTCGATTTATTGTTCAGATATAATATCTTTATTCATTAAAATATTTATAACTTAAATATACTTAATAAATATTATTATCTAGTTTGGTCATATTATACGTATACCCTGTTCCAAAATAGAAGGCACCAGGTTTACGTAAGAAAACCGGTTTTGCCCTAGTTTATCCTATTTTTTTTAAAGTTTAAGACAGAGTATAGGTACCCGCTCCTATTGTTATTACGCAACTGGAAGCAAAAGATTCGTTCACAATCGTTATTTCCTGTACAAAACTACAACGTGATAATAATTACAAAATATAATACGATTATACGAGTATATATAGTCGACATCGAGTATAGAAGTATTTAAGTGTATATTAATAAATACTTAAATATTTAATATTTTATTAACTATTTTGTTGGGATGCGTACAATTTTTTTTTTTAAATCTAAAATGCATCTTATTTATTTTTATTTAGGATAGATGAAGTTGAAATGTTTTATTGCTTATAGAAACTGAAAATGTTAGTGAAAAGTAACGCGCTCAATCTTCAATTATATAACGAAATATGCACTATAGTCTATAATACAATTATTATACCAACAATGGAAAATTTAAGTGTCACTGTTGGTAGACGCTGCTACTAACAATTAATACCTACCTGCCATAAACTTAATGAACCACAGGAGAGTACAATAAACAATAAACTACCCATCCACTCATTTGAAAATGTTAATAATTTAACTTGAAAAATGTATTTTACATATTTTTTAAAATTATTAATTATGCTTTGGAAGTTAATTAACTTAATTAACTAAGTTAATATTATTACCTAGTATTAATGTATTATTAAAATGAATCTTATATAGTATAGAGGGACTCAATACAGTGTTATAATAAAATTAAAATCAAAATCAAAAGACACATGCATTTTTTCGCTTTCTGCCACCTGTCTGGTCCTCTCTTTCACTTCTTTGCTCGTCGGAATTACATCCACCATTTGATGAATGTATTGATTTTACGATGATAATATGTTTTATTTTTGTTTATATTTTTATTTCATTTTTATTTGTGTTGGTGTACACGATAAGTAGACGAAATAATGCTTCAATTTTCAACTTTAGTGTCTTGTTCGATGGAAAAGTGAATCTAGTTTGGGGAGGTCAAAAAATTTGAAAATCCCAGTAATTTTTAAAAGCGCCGAGAAAAACAAAAAAATTTAAAATTCATAAAAATATTTATTTTTAAATCTAAGATTTGAAAATTAAATACAAAATTTCTTATAAGTTTGTCTAACTTATCAAAAAAAAATGTCTACAAGCAAATCATATTAAATTTTTATTAGCGTTTGAAATTCATATTTTTACAATATTGAATATTCCCTCCATTTCTCATGTAGCGGTTTTGTTATAATATTTTGTTGTAATTCAAAAACAAATAACTGTAGATACAAAAAAATTTGACTGAATTTTTAAATTCTCATTTTCTATACACGATAAAATTTTCAAAATATTTTGACTTGTTTTGAGCTGTTTACGGACAATTTCAAATTTCAATTTTTTTAGTTTTTTTTCCATAATTGTCAAAAAAATTTTATTTGTTGGGTAAAAATGAGTGAAAACTTAATACAAGGCTCTTAATATATTGTTACAATAGCAGTTTAAAAATATTAAAAATACATAGACACTATTTTTTTTATGAGCATTTAAAGTTTGACTTTTGACAAAATGTACCAAATGTAAAATGTAAAAATTATTTTGTAGTTAAAAATGTATAAAATGTTCAACTTTTATAGCTAAGGGTTAAAAATTTTAAACAAAGTTCCATGGAATTAATTCATTCTGTTACCGAAAAATCTAAAAAATACATTAACACAGTTTATTTTTAATTATTACTTATTTTATGTTCAAAATTGGACGAAATTACATATTAAAAAACCAATAATAACTAATCTAGTTATTTCGTTGTAATTTTATAATATTAATTCAACTGACCAGCTACCATATTTATAATAACTAATAAGTAATTACAATATGTCAATATAAATATAATATAAAATATCCACACTGACAACCCGTAACCGCTCAGAATCGTTTTTCGTATACAATGATATTATATCATTAAATTCAAATTGAATATCATCCATCATACAGACATACAGTGACCCACTTGTAACCTACTGTACAGCAGAGCGACATCCACTTACCCACCTTTTTTATATTATAAAACTAGCTGGGATTACGCTGTCTTCGCCCGAGCTGTCATTCGATTATCTATGTTTTTTTCATTGCATAACTTGCATTCGCGTTTACAATAAATAAATGTCAAGAACAATCATTAAAAACCACAGGACTTTTGCTTTACACCGTTTTCGACCATAGTAGTTATATGTGGCATGTTCAAGAGGTGATGTTCCAAAAAATCTTAAAATGTATTGTGAAAATGGCAGAACTATGAACATTGTATATCTATAGGCACTAAAACAGTTGTTCCCAACCTATAGTCCGCAGACCACTTTTGTCTTATAATCTTATAATCTTGGTGGTCCGTAAACCGTCATAAAAAATATATTAATATGATGTATATTTTTTTATAGTAGTAATTTGCGTTAAATTATTAATAGTATTAAACTTAAATTGATCAATTATAAACATTATAAGGAATTTCATTGTTTTTTGTTTATCTAAATTTTAAAATGTGTGAAATTATTTTTTTTTATAGAAAAAATAAGTTTTAAAATTGAGGGGTCCGTGACGCAGTGTATGTTCTCTAAGAGTGGTCCGTAGTGTCAAAAAGGTTGGGAATTACTGTACTAAAAGTTACTTACGAGTGTCGAGTGAGGAAAAAAGCGACATTCTTTTTATCTCGTTATGTTTGATTTAAGCGGGCTATTCATATTATTTATCTAATCCATAATATGATATTATTGTTATCACAGAATAAATAATTTAATCTGTGATAGTACTATCTGCGGAGTATTGTGATATTAAACGTAAGGCTGTTCCGTATTCCGTTGAAATATTGAATCGTTGAATAGTGAATAGTTAGTATTTAGTAGTTACCAATAGTTAAGACTTTAACGTTAAAAGTGGAGTATTGATTTCCAACTAATAAACAATATATATTATAATTATGTCAATTTTCAACAACATTTATAACTCGTTCCTAGTTTTCATTAATTCGCATCAACGCAGTCCTTTGAAAATAAATAACGTAAATGAAAAACCGGTTGACAATATTAATGCACAGCATTCTCAAGCAGAGGTACCATGTCGTTCATGCACTGATTTCCGGACGTTTAGTCGTATGAGACGTCAAGAGTTTAGTCAAAGTCAGGTAATACATTTTTGACAACATAAAATTATTGATTACCTACTACTCCTAGAAAAAATTTAGATAGTACCTATACCAAGTGTTAGTTCAAAAGAACTGATTGCTGACTGATCAGTTTATTTGAAAACGGAACACACAGCCTCCATCAGCTTGTTAAGTTTTGACACTTTTTGAAGAATAAAGCTAATAATTGATTATTCACACTAAAAACCAACACTATCAGTTGTTGGATACCACTCATTTGAAAAGGATTTCAATTTTTAGCATTTAACTATTTTACCTATGTGGTGTTTATTAGAATGAGTAATTTGATAAATTACTGGCATGTTATTCAGAAAGTACCGGGTAACATAACAGTTTACCTATGTAGTATGTAATATTAATTATGTAGTCTTACAAGTTATATTTTATGATTTTAAAAATAGGTTCATTCACTGAATAGCCAATCTAAAGATAATAATGATGAAACCAAAATACTAGAACACCAAAGAGATGATTGTCCCTTAGATAAAGATGAATTAGGTATGTTATTCGATTTATCTTCAAATATTTTAACAAAAAATATTATTTTAAATTGTGTGTTTTAGGTCGTAGTACATGGAAATTACTACATACCATAGCTGCCACATATTCAGATGAACCGTCACGTGAAGACCAATCTAACATGGAACAATTCATTAGATTAATACCAAAAGTCTATCCTTGTGAAATTTGTGCTAACGATTTTTCCGAAATGTTAGTATTACTTTATTTATTTTGTTACGTTAATTGTTCTTAGGTACTCGTGTAGTATGCTACTTACCTTAAAATAATACTTACTAAAAAACTGTACTAATGCAATATCACACCTACTGAAAAATATAACATACCTACTCTTATACTATAATGTTATATATTTGTATTAAATTTTTCTATGGGAAAGTACCTATCTGTGATTGGGTTATTAAGATAAACAACCTATTATAACGGCTATACAATACTAAAAATATCTCGTAAATTATCGGCTAATATCTACTAAGACTCACAATAAACTACTTTTAGATATTAAATCATTGTAGTCTGTGCTGTGGTCCTTCCATTTCACTGACCGCTGTGTAAAGCTACAGATTAGTTAAACAGCCAATTACAAATAACAATATATTATAACATATTAAAATACTTGTCAATGAAAACCATCAGCAATATAAGTAAATATTAGTAAATTTTAATTTAATAAATTGTAATTATTTATTAATCTGCAGTATATAAAAATATTGAACACCCTTAAACTTTTTTAGTAGGAAGGTAGCATAACATACTACACCAACGAAGTAGAAGTAGGTAGCATACTACAAGAGTGCCTGTTTTCATTTCACTTAAATTGGTAGATTTCCTATAAAAAGTATCATATTTTTTAATACATATTTGTAACATTTTTTATTGTTATATTTTGGTTTCATGAATATTACTTGCGAAGCATAGAGAATTCACTCTTTGTAGAATCTTTTAGATTATACTTTATGATGAACTGATAGTGTCATTAATTTAAATAATAAATATTTTTTCAGATTAACATATCATCCACCAAACATTAGCTCTCAAAAGTCATTTTCAAAATGGATGTGTGAAGTACACAATATGGTAAATCGGAAATTAGAAAAGCCTCTATTTGACTGTTCTAAAGTAAATGAACGATGGCGTGATGGTTGGGCTGATGGACATTGTGAATAATATTTTAGCAAAGCAAATTAGATAAATAATACAGAATTATAATTTCATACAAATATTTTTAAATAAATATTCTGGATTATTTAAATTATTATTAATTGTGAATATAATATATTATTTTTAATTTTTTTCTCTTGAAGTATAGTGTGTAATATTCTATTTTTGCAAAACATGTTATGCTTAGAATAATTCTAATAACTATTATTGCCATTTAATTAGCTAGGGGTTGACTATTGGACATAAACTAACCTACACATTAATATTATTTGTAAAAATGTAAAATTTGTTATAAATTGTTACCAACTGCTCAAATGTTTCTAAAAAGATACAATTTGTCATTTAGATCTATAATATATTATTCACCACCACTACAGGAATATATTGTTGTAACTTAATTTCTTAGTTGTATTTTAGATTCTAGTTCTAAACAATTGAGTATCAGAAGTCAAAGACGATGACACTGAAGAACTTACCTGGATGGATATTATTTGTCTGTATTGTTTTCATCATTCTAAATTTTACAAGTGAAATTTCAAATATTTCAATACTATCTGTAAATAATAAATACATTCAAAAATGTATTTGTTCTAATGGAAATCATGATAAAGTAATGAGAAGTATGGAAACTAAAATGTGTAGGTAACATAATATAAGTATTATATTATGCCTTAAACATTATTCCAATTGGCCTATATGAGCAGTTCTTAAACTGTGGTCCGCGGGAACTTTCAATATTAAAATATTGATTATGATAACATCAGATATTATGTAAAAATTAGTAAGAGATTCGCGATTTTTAAGTCTCTCATCTGGGGTTCTACCTACATTTTAGAAACAATGGTCTGCATAATTTAATACATCAACAAAAACCCGTGCAGACACTTAGTTCATCAATAAGTATTAATTACTAATTATAATTTTAAGTGTCGCTACTGGGTGACATATTTGTCTATTTTACTTCTGACCCATGTCTTAACTGATTGAATATATTTATTGTAAAAAATTAATGGTACTTGTCTGTTATCATCCCACAAGGTAACATTAAGCGCTTTTAATCTAAAATGTTGATATTTCTCTATATCTAAATATTTTATGTGTAAGGTTCACCTGCTTGTAATCTATTTATTGAAAAACGGTACAGTATATGGTTTCATATACTATTTGAAATTATATTATAATTATGTTAGTATGTTGTTAGCTTGTTGCTGTATTGTGATATGTATAATTTCAAGTTCATACCTATCTAACAAATAACATTATCGACTTATTTTAAGATATTGATAAAAATGAATGTTAATTAGTTATTAATCACTGGCATTCAATTTTTACAATAAAAAAATATATCTTTAAAACAAATAAAATGTATGACGTTTAAGGATTTTTTTGATTCTTTTTTAGGTCTAATTATGAATTATTAAATTATTTACTTTTATTTGATTATTTTGTAATGGTATATAAAAAATAAAATAGTGCAACAGGTATTTACCTAGTGGCAAGGTGATGATTTAATAAAGGGGGGATGGTATTTAAAATTAAATATATACAAATTAATACATTTGTAGTAATATCAATAAAAAAATTCCAACAAAATTACAATCAACATTTTTTTTATTGAGAATAAAAGGTAGGCGACAAAATATATACAATTGATACCCTAGTAATGTCATTTATACATAAGATTTGATGTAGAATTATACACCTATAAAAATGAATACTGCACAATTTATTTATAAATTGTACCTATCAAGAAACATTTTTATAGTGACTTTTTATACTGAGTCATTACCTAATACTTTTTTAACATAAATCAAATTCAAATAAATATTATACATAATCAGCTTATAAGAAAAATTAAACTGTTTGTTATAGAAACAATACAGTACCTGCACACAAAACATTTTAATTATTAACAATTGATATCAATAATTAAAATGTTTTAATTATTTGTTTGTTAAAATATGATCCCATTATAAGTATATATTGATAAGTTATACAATAATCAAAGTAAATAATTCTCATAAAATAAACAATAAAATAGACAAAGGCATAAAATCAATCTTAACAAGACTTATAATTGTATGAAAGCGTTAACATGTATCCACTTCAAGTGTTCATTCATTTTAGTTACTAATAAATAAATCACAATGAAGATGTTTTATGTCTAATTTACAAGTGTTAATTTAGAAAAATTATTGGTAATAAAATTCCATTTAAATTTTATCAAATCAAGTTACAAGCGTACATTGTAAAACGTATATATTATAATAATTAGACAAGTCAGTAACTTGTTTAAAATATATAATAACTAATTTACAATAAATTGAACTGCGCCAAGCATATTGAATTGTATGTCTAAACATATATATAATATATTATATATTTTCATGACATTCCTTTTTTTTGTAGGTCTTTTTTAAGTGCTGATTTTTTCTTTTTGTGAAGAGATAGAGCTGTTTTTGTGAGTTTTTCACATTTTTCATTAAAAATGCGTAATATCACACTCTTTTGGATTTCTAAGAAATCGTCTACTATAAAATCTGATTCCTTCTTACCTATTTCAATAAATCTACATGGCGGGTTTAATGACATGGCTCGTTTCTTGTGTTCTTCCCAAGGCTTGTCGGTTGACTCCCAACCATCCAATTCGATGAAACACGAAAAACATCTTACTGTATCAGGTATATCCGGATTTGGGCAGTAGAACCCTGCTTCGGCCATTTCCTTGGCACTAGGTTTACCCATGGTCCAATTTTGTAGCGATTTTAATCTTTTCATCTGCCAGACGTGTTGAAAGGGTTCTGCTTCAAGAGATTTAAATTGACTTTCGACCTGTTTCGTTATTATGTTGTCTATATTCTCCATGATGAGTTAATATCTAAAAAAAAAATAAATGTTGATTTATACGAATTAAAAAATGCATAATATTCATAGACCACAGTTCAAATACCTCAAAGCAGAAGCCAGTAAAATACAAATACAAAACAAAATTGAAAATATTTAAAGATCTAATAATTATTATTATTTAAATTTCAAGTCTACTCCTAGATAAAATATTATAACCGACTTCCGACGACTGACACCAAACATTCTGTATTTTAACAGTGTAGCCGTTATTAAAACTAAAAATGTCTTTCTTAAGTTTGATAATTGCTTTCTATATGATTGGAGAATTTAAATAATTATTAACTAATTAAATATTTATTTATTAAGTTTACGTCCTATCTATTTGGTATTCTCTTTAAAATTTATATAATATTATAGTTTTATTATTAATTATTTATAATTATAAAAATTATATTATCTATTTGTTATCACTACAAACACAAGTAGAATAAAGTACTAGTCCTTAAACACACTTGTAGTTGCCTATTTAAAACGCCTTATGATCATGAAAAAATAAGCTATCTAATCATATAAAGCGCCTCAAATTTGAAAAAATCTGGCTTATTTATAATATTGGAAATTAAATGTGTAAAGATCGATTTTAAAAGTAACTGTAAAATTACAAACAGGCTTTATTCTATACAGTAGTTTTTCCTAAATAATTTAGATTTTTCATTATTATTTATTAATATAACAATTAAAAATTATTCATATTTTAAGAAATGATTACCCTAAATAAAGCAATGCCTGTACAAACATTAAGTTTTATATTTTTATGACAATAATAATAATAATATGTAAAAATAAAATATAAATTTTATCTTATATGTATCTATAGTAAATATAATTTAACTTATTTGATAGTAGTATTAAAATAAATAGTTTGTTTGACAATAATTTAAAAAAACAAAATATTTACTATAACATTTAAAAAATATTTATAAATCTATAAGCTATTATAATTTTATTGTGTGTATAAATTATAAATTATATAATTCTATACATGAAAATAAATAAATTTGTGAAGGAACAATTAATGTATATAAAGTAGTAGTTATAAGTAGTAGGAGCAGTACAAATAATAGTTATAATACGATTCAATTTTTATGTTTGCGCCAAAGGATCTCCTGGATATTTATTTAAGAGCTAAAAAAAAATGTTAATAGGCATTGTGTTTGTGGAATAATAAATACTATACAGTTCACTTACATTTTCAATATGCTTTCTTAATTCTGATGGAGTCACTTGGTGCAATAAGCGTTCTTGTTCAAAAAATGAAAAATCATCTTCTAATTTTGAAGATGAATTACTATTATTATTAGGTTTCTTTCTTTGATATTTAATATCACTATTTAATTCCTGAAATGTTATAAGAATTCAAATAATTCATTGTCAATTAGTATTATAATAATATAGAATACATTATGAAGGAACGCATTCAAGCAAATAAAATCATGTATTTGCTTACTGAATTTGATTGACTATCAATGTTCACATTTTTTACCACTCCCAGAACACTTTTAACTAGTAGTCGCTTTTCTTGAACTTCAGCTTCTAAACGTTTTTCTAATTCAGAAATACATTCTAATTTATCGTTTATAAGTATTTCGTAACGTTCCAACTCTTCTTTGTGTTTTGAATTGATTTGTGCCTTTTCTTTTTCATACCTAAGTATAAAATAATTTTATGAATTCTTTATTTTAAAATCAATTTAGAAGTTCTTTCAACCTTTCTTTAAAATGTATTATTTGGTTATTCATTTGAAGTTTTATCAATTTAGTTTCTTCCTTTGTAATTTGAACAATTCCATCTAATTTTCGCTGATAATCGGACACTTTTTCAGCCAGCATAGCATCAAGCTGTTTTTGATAAAAGATTTTTAGATCATTTTTCACAGTTTTAACTTTTTCGTTTGCTGCATTAAGTTTCTCTGCAGTTTTTGCCTAGAAACCAATATTTACATAAAATATAAAATAAAAAATGTATTTTTATTATTCAATACTATTAGTATAAATGTATAATCTAAATACCTGAGTACTTTTCATTTGATCTACAATGTCTTCAATTGTACGCTTTTGATCTAAGAGCTGATCATATTTTAAAGTTTTTTCACATAGTACTCTTTTTTCTTGATTTAATACTAATACTTCTTTCTCTAACTCACTACACTTATTTATTGATCTATTGCACTTTTCAGCTATCTAAACAATTAAACATAAAATTGATTTTATACTTGAAATTATTTATAAATTACTAAAGTAGAAATTGTTTAGTATGTCAATGTCATCAGTTAACACACCACATCACTTAATACGCATAATTGTATGTCATTGTATGCCATTGTATGTCTTACTTAGCAATTTCTACTATATTTTGAAACTTACGCTTTTATTTTTTTCTTGTAATTTAATTAATTCATTTTGAAGTCTTTCATTTTCTTTATTTTTTTTTTCAATACTTAGTTGTAATTGTTTTGCTTGTTCTTCTACTTTTTGACATTTAATTAATAATTTATTTAACTGTTTTTCAGCATTCTCTGTTAGAGCCTTGTAAGAATTACTCCGAGAAATAGCTTTAGCTGTATCACTTTTATAATGTTCAATTTTTTCCTTCATTGCTTCTAAGATATCTTTTTTATTCTTGCGCTCAGATTGTAAATCTCTGTTGATTTTTTCATTGATTGTACTATAAGCTCTTACTTGACTTAAAATCATAGCAGACCGTGCAGCAAGATCATCAAGAAGATTATTTTTTTGGCAATCTACTTCTTTATATTCAACCATTCTTTTTTCACAATTTGTTAACTTTTCTTCTAAATCTATACATTTTTTTTCTATATTCTGTAACATCCAACAAATATTTAAAAAATATTTTCCAAATTATTTATTTAATTTTTCTTACATAATGTTGATTATTTTATAATATTTTAGGTAAGTATCAAAAAAAAAATGTTTACTTGTCTATGATAAATTTCTTTTCCAAGTTTCAACCACAAATTTTCTTTTGAAACAGAGTCCAATTTTTGGTAATCATTTAAAGCTGTGGTTACATGTGGGGTTACATTTACCAAGTCGTCACATAAACTTAAATAAAGAAGCATTACATAAAAAAAAAAAAAAACAAACTAAATAAGTACCTCTGTAAATTGTTATCATCTGATTCATCGCAAACAGTTTTTTTGGTTAGAACAGCAGATCTAACATCCTTTTTTTGAGAACTGACTTTACGCTGAGCATGGCCATTATCTACATTTCTTAATAACTTGTCATTGTACTCGTAAGTATTCACCATTTCATGCAACAGAGAATCAATGGAACTATAATTTATTTTTCTTTCGGCATGTCGTTTTAGAGGTGAAGAAGCACTAAGAGGACTGGACAGACCATTGCTGATGTAACTAGTTTCCATTTTTTTGTTTGAGGCAGTAGCTAAATTACACGTCCGACGTTAAAGGTCTAAGGTCTAACTATTCAACTATATTTCTTCAAGTCCTGTCGGCAGCCGGCTGCCATTATCTTTTCTATGCAGTATGCATCCTGCCCCCTTATTGGTCGTAATTATATAACTAAATAAAAAGGAATCATCATAGATTATTACACTAATTATTTTCAGGCCGGACCCAGAGCCCGGGGGCGGGGGCCCGGACGGCAGCGGGGGTCGAGCAGACACTGATTAGTATTTAGGAGTTAGTACATTGCAAAGAATAATATATCAAACACGTACTATAGGTATTATTATAAATACGAGTCAACATAATATCATATTACCATTCGGCATTTATCCGCGTGGGGGCACAGAGTATTGACGTGAGGTGTATCGTGTATAACCATAGAACAATAACGGTTGCGGATCCACTGTTGTTTCGTGCATTTATTTGTTATCAACGACGGTGATAATCGATAACATTCCAATTACCGCGTGAATTTAAATGTTACAACAATTGTTATTAATATAAACAAATAATACAATAGAATATTGTAATTGTTTTTACTATATAACTTAATAAAATAAATTTTCAGCACTTTTAATGAAAAATATATTTAAAAAAAAGTCGGAAGAGTGGGTGCCGCTTTGCTGTACAGTAGTTGCAATGGATGTGTTACCTATATTTGCAGAATACAATTATAAACCATTGTCCATTGAGTATATACAAATATATTAGTATAAGTAACCTAACCTAGACAAACCCTATACCTAACCTATTAATATATACAAATAAATTTGTATACTAAAAACGATTCTGAGCGATTAGCTTAGTCCTTATAATATTATTATTTTTTATTCGTTGCTATGGTGATAAACAAAGAGTTAGAAATAAAAAATTTAGATGTTTTTTGTAATTTGTCGGTAATTTCTCTCGATGCTTTCTAAAACTATACTTAGAATTTTCAACTTTGACCTCCCAAAAGTACCAACGAGCTTCACTTTTCTATCAGAAAAGATCCTGATCTCAAAAATCAAAGCATGCTTACTATCCAAAATGTTGCTGACGGACGGAAAAAATAAAAACAAAAAAAAAAAATACGACATTGTAACACCAAAACATTCTTCCGCTCCGCTCAGAATCTAAAATACCTATTCAAAAATAATAACTTTAACTCCTGCAAAAGTTATAATTATAATTTTAGATTCTGAGTGAAACTATGAATGTATTGATTTTACAATGATGTGTGTTTTTTTTATTTTTTTTTTTATGTCTGTCATCACGTGCTGATGGACATTGTGAATAATATTTTAGCAAAGCAAATTAGATAAATAATACAGAATTATAACTTCATACAAACATAAATATCCTGGATTATTTAAATTATTATTAATTGTGAATATAATATATTTTTAATTTTTTTCTTTTGAAGTATAGTGTGTAATATTCTATTTTTACAAAACATGTTATGCTTAGAATAATTCTAATAACTATTATTGCCATTTAATTAGCTAGGGGTTGACTATTGGACATAAACTAACCTACATATTAATAT